CTGCTCATTTAGACTGTATTTGCAAACTCTGGAAAGGGCAGGCAGTATATCCTGCTTTATCATATGTTTATCCCTTCTGGTTTACCTTTCCACTTCTGCTGTATTTTCAGAAAAAGTGGAAGAGAAAATTTGCTGGTTTGATTTTTTAATATTTTTGAGAAACCTTCTTTACATATTTTTGAATATTGTGCCCAAATATTACAGTTCCCATAAATTAACCTAAACTACCCTTATTAAAAGCAGTTAGGAACAGATTATCTACATGCTCCTAAAGATGGGGAGAAAATCATGATTCTCCTGATGGTTTTGGGAATAGACTTTTTCTAAACATCTTCACAGAATTCTTTTATTGTTTCTTAGACTTTGTGCCAAAGGTGGATAGGGGTAAAAATGGTTTTGCATCAAGTTTGGCAAAAGTGTTAAATATGGCATATATAGGGGTTTTATTTTTAAGATAGATAAAAGTAACAAGTGATTTAAGGGTGGCTTGTAAGAATGGAAAGGGATATTGTTTAACAGAACAGAAACAATTTGAATTCTTTTTAGATTATTTTTTATCTATTAAAATATGAGGTCATTAGAGCATGTCTGTTTTTACTCTTTTTTTATTACTTGTATATATGAACGTAAGAATTCCTGCATGTGCTACTGATGTAGAAGAAATTTTTTGCAAAGTTTATTTGTAAAAATTACCGTTTATGATTACTTAGTCTTCTAAATTTTAATAATTCTAAAATGCTTTATAAAATTTTATCACTCACAAATTCTGTATGTATTATTAGTATTATCTTATGTACAAAACAAGAAATATCTTTTCATGCTATCAGAGGAAGAAAAAACCCAACACTTAATTTAGAAAAGATTACACTAAATGCAGAAGCTCTTTTAACTTAGTAAAAAATGCACAAATGCTCTGGAGTGTTTCCATGTAAGAGAAGTCAAAAAAATAAAACCAGGACACGTGTAAAAGTGTTTTGGTAGGAAACAATTGGATATGTCTACAAGAATTTCTAACTGGACATTATTTGTACAGAAAGCCCACAAAACTGGCCCAAGTAATTACTGCAAGATAATTACAAAGAGCATTCAGCTTATAATTTCATGATTATTCTGAAAATTTACTTAAGGAAATCACAGACATGCAAAAATTACTATGTAAATAACAATACATCTTTAAAGACTGAAAAATCCCTTCAGGAGAACCAGAGTCTAAGTGAAATGTTTGTATAAATAATAGTTAAGTTCAACAATTTACAATGCATCTAGGTTCATCATCAGTTTCTTCTTTGTTTCAGTGTAATTGAATAATAAATTGGCTGATTTACTCATATTTGGGTACCATAAGAGGAGTGAAGCTGTCATGTCGATTTTATAGATGCAACACTGAATTCTGAGCTGTCATTGGATGGGCAAAAAAGACAAAAATAGTCAAGAGAATATGTAAAGAAAGACACTAACTTTAAAGAATAAAAAGCTTCCTTTTGCGCTTTACTTTTCTGCTTTTCATGCTCATGTTCTACGCTTGAGATAATCTACCAGGTAAACAAACTATGAGCTCAGGGGGAAAAAGTCCCCCTAAAATTCAAAGAAAAGTGAAGTCAAATAGCTAAAATAAAGTTTGGAGGTATATTTGAAGTGCTGTCAGAAAAAAAAGCCTAGTCTGAGTTACAGCTAAAATATGCAGTCTTCTAGAAAGCAAAAAGCTCCTTCCCAGTTCAGTAAAAATGTAGTGATACATCTGCTGAAATGGAAAAAACCCTTTACTTAAACCTTCACACTATCCTCTCCAAAGGACAGGATATGCTCCAACCAGCATTTGACCGGTTGACTTGTTCGTATTCTGAGATTCAGGTTTCCTGATGAAGTATTGACAAGCACTTTGCAAATGCCCATGGTATTCCATTAAAAAATGCAGCTTTTCCTGTAACATCACTTGAGAAACACTGGAGAACTGATGCAAATGATCCCATGGTACCTTTAAGCAGTGGACCTGTGAATAGCTTTGATGTGAATAAGATAAGTACTAGTGACTTAACCTGCTTATGATTTTAATTTCTTATTCAATATACTTTGTCTGGTATTTTGCAGCAAGAATGACACTGCATAAAACTAACTGTAATTACTGTGTTGTATGCAATATAAACATACTTCTTAAAAGCAGTCACTTCATGATAGAAATGGGGGGCAGGGAATAAACTTTAGGAAAAAAAAATTCTGGATTTTTCCAACAATTTCTATCAAATCCTTTTCTTAGAAACTAAGAAAATTCTACGTACCATTGCTTCTGCATTAAGTAGCTGCTCTAGCTGTTATTTCTATACAGAGAGCAAAATCTAACTACTGTACTTCTGTACAGATGGTCCTGACTCAGTGTTAATGTGAATCCTTGGAGAATGTAAACTTTGATTCTCACATATGCAGTTACTTCACGGTCATTTTTTTCAGAAATATGCAAGGAATTGCTTTTGCAGAAATGAAACAAAGACAGAAATCTACATTATTGTAAAGCATTTATGAGGCCAAACAAAACCAGAACTTGAGTCCAGAATTGTGAACTCTTTAGAGTAGACAAATATACACAACAAACGTATCTGTGTGGATCTTCAAGAAAAATACACAAAGCCATGCATGTACATATATTTTGAAAATCAACAGATGCCAGACAGTCCTTAGGTTGCATGAACTGTAAAATCTGTCTCCAAGTGAACATCTGGAACATTTAAATCTTAAATCTAGAGTCGATCTTCTAGATTCCTCAGGGACTATAATGAAGGACTGACTGCACAAACACCTGCCCTTGTCTGCTGAAGGATTTATTTTCTTAGATAAATTAGGCAACACGGCATCTCTTCCAAGCCATGCTGTTAATGTTTACAGTTGCTAGACTGCTATACTTCCCTTAGCCCAGGATCACAACTTCACTAACTTTACTCAGAACGTTACAGTTACGGTGGTTTATGGAAGTTTATTTTTGGATATTTGTAATTTTGGCACTCTTGAAGTGTTTGTCTCCCTAAATCCAGATATTGTTTCAACCTTTTATTTTTCATAGTTTGTGTGCTTGTTTATTTAATTTCTGCCTGTGTAAGAAAATTCTAAAATCTAAAGTTGCAGAAGTATTAAGACGAAAGAATAAAAATGTTCTTGATAGTGAAATTTATTTTTTTAGAAACCCATTATTTCCTTGCAGTGTCTTAAAACTTCACTTCCAGAAAGCATTTCTTGCAAAAAACCACACAAATCCCACACACAAATGTGTGCTTTACAACCATTTGATATGTCTGAATCAGGGTTCTCTCTCTAAAACGTGAGTGTACCCTGCAGTGACTGCGTAGGTTCTTTACCTCCTTAATTTTCACTTGGCAAGTAGCCCAAGTCTCTGCTTTAAATTTCCCACTTGGTAGCACTACTATGGCACCTGAAGAGTAATTAGTTGTAAGAAAGGGAATTTTAACTGTTTGCTGAGAAGGAAAAAAATGTGCATGCCTAATAAAGATTTTTTCCTTGAGTATCTGCAATACCATTTATTTATTTTTGCTTAGAATGCACCATCCTTTAAATAGATCAGTGACTATTTTTTCTTTCTTTAAACCTTCCAGAAAAACTGAGTGAAAGAAAATTGGTTTGGTTTTAAAGCCAAGCTACTTTGATTTTAGTCAGTCTTTTACATTACAGCAGCTCTTATCTTTACACAAATTTTGTCCCCCTGCCTTTTCTGTTTTTTTTAAACAGTTTCCTGATAATGGTGTTTTTTATTTTAATTTTCATATTGGTCTTCTATGGACATCTAAGGTGTGGTCTTCTACGGACATCTAAGGTGTAGTCTTCTAGGAAGGCAAAACCTCAAGATGCCTGAGAAATCATAATGTTTTACCTAAATTTCATATGTAATTCCCTGTGAAGCTTATACTGTCCATGAAACTTTATATTATAGTACTGTTTGTAAGATAGGCAGATCTTCGTTGGTTCCAATGACCTTGGAAACTCTTTTCAGTTCAATTCATTACATATATATAGCTATGCAAAATGAGTAACAGAAATGAGGTTTTCCCTCCTCTAGAAATTAGCAGTTCCCTAGCCCTAAGAAAGAGAAAAGTGCTGCTCCTGATACTGCTTCTGCCTTCTGTGCAAATAAGAAATGCAAAGAAGTTTGAGAGGGAGGGGATTTGATTTCTTTTTTAATGTCTGCCTCCTTCCAGCAAGTCCATCTGTTGTAGCACTATAATTCTGGAAGCAGGATGTGTGTGTGACCAACAGGAGACAATTACTGCATAAGTGTTTGTTGATTCAGCTCTATAAAGGGCAGGCCAATCACTACAGTATGAACAGAAAAGAATTCCAGCTGAGGAGCTGCATACAGATTAACACAAAACACATATATAAATGAGAATGAGGAAAACCAGAAAGGAGTAATAGCGTGGAAAAGGATTAAGTAGGAACAAAGACTGAAGCAGAGAAGAAAGCTGGCATCTTTGAGCTGTTTAACCCAAGTTTATTAGTCTCTATTTTCATAAATTTTGCTCTCTGGCTTTCCACCTTAACAGAGAAAGATGGGATTAAATAGATATGGAACTGGTCTGAGCTCTCTATTGAAGAAAACTCCAGTTGTCTTGGGGCATAAGGAGACACTGTCTGTTCTTCACAGAGGAATGGGTGCTAGTTCCTGCAGACTGACCAGATTCTCAGCAAAGTAGTTTGCAGATCACAGGCTTAAAGTGAAACTTCCCTCACTCATTTGAATGCACATAAATGTCACCATGAAGACTACTTTGTTTTCAGAAGGATAAATGAATTGGGTTGATATAATAATAAATCAGGCCTCAGTATCATTTGTACACAATAACTGACTCATAATCTCACAAAATGCATTCCAATAGATATTTTTTCATAATTTTGACTATAATAAATTAAACTACAAAAATCAATGTTATCACAGTTTCAGAGAACTGCAACAGAATTAAGCTGAACATCGTGAGACACCATAATAAAAAGTACTTTACCTCTATGGTCAGTTTACTAGTTTGAAGTCTCTGATTAGCCAAATGTAGCTGACTTGTTAGTTTTTCATTGGTTTCTTTCACCTCCTTCACAGAAGTCACTGCAGTCTTTTTTTCAGTCTGTAAAACAGCTATCTGCTTCTGCAATGATTTAATTCTTTCCTGCAGTAGAGTAACAGAGTAGCCTGGTTTCTGGACGGTGATATTTCTCCTTTTTGCTCTGTTCACTAAACATAAAATGTCATGTTACTAAACTGACAGATCATCATAAGTAACATGATTTCTGATTTTGTTTTGGTCCTTTAAAACGCTCTTGAAGTCTCTAAAATATTTTTCAGTAAGCAAACTGGTAAATTAACAGTTGACCTATAAAAACATACAACATAAAAAACATATAAAAACAATCAACCTATAAGTGCTCTAAGTTGTACTTTTTCTGAAGTGCCAACACTTCAAACTCAATGAGGACTTGGAAGTTAAATGTGCCTCTGATTGGTATTACCAGAAATAAGGCCTTCAGTGTCTTCAGTGTCTTCAGTGTCTTGCTAACAGATGGGTTTTTTTTAAGGTCTAAGCCAAAAACCATTAATTTGTTTCATTAGCTGTGTTGGCTACAAGGGCCAAACATGAACAATAAGTAATGAAAAGCCTCGTATCAGTCAGTAGATTCAATTGGTGAGACTTAGTAAAACAGTATATATTAACTGTGTGAAAAGATGCTGTTTGATGGTCACTTATATGACAATTTCACTTCAAAATAATGAGCTAAATATTTGAAAGTACACACACAAATTTAAACAAGCAAATTTTTTAACAGCATTCAGTGGGTTTGTGTAATATAGCAGAGGTTTTGGTAGGTAGGAATGCTTCGTCGGTCTTATTTACGAAGTTGCCAAAAATATATAATATTTGCTTAGAATATTTGCTAACCTTTGCTTAGAATCGATGGATGTGATGTTACAAGATAGCAGATCTTCCTCCTCTCGGAATGTAACTTTTCTAGTTCTTTCTTCTGTGAATGGCACTAAATAAAAAAGAGAAGCACAAAGTGAGCAACTCCAAACACAACACTGTAAATTTTTCCAGTTTGAACTGAAACAACAAAAATTACTTCAAATAATATACAAATTCTAGTGAATTCTGATCTGAAAATCAGTCTTACAATATCAGCCAGTGAAGAGTACTTTTCCATCAAATGTAAAAGAATTAATGAACTGTTGTAGGTAAGTCATAGCCTTTTCCGAAGAATCCCAGAGAAAAATTAAGTATCCGTTATTAATGTATCCATTACTTTTTCAGATAAGATCTGAATTTACTAGTAGGGAAAAAAGATGGTCTGTATTATTTGAAAGTCTACAGTATCTTATTTTTCAAGATATTTAAGTGAAACTAAAAGGAGTAGTGGTCTCATTAGTTCAAAAGGAGGAAGACCAGATTACACACTGAGCTGTAACTAGAAGATGCATGAAACTATGTGAACATGCAAAATAAAATTGCTGTGTTTGACCAGGTGTCGTGGTTTGGACCTTGTTTTCCCCCAGAGGCTAAGAAAAGTGGTAGACCCCAAGGGGTGGAAACCCCTGGAAGTTTTGAAATTCTGCCCAGTGGGCGCTCCTGCAAAAATGTCAACATTCCACAAGCTCACCGGAAGAGATGAGTTGTAGTTTTGGTTGTTGGGTAGTGGTGGCCATGTTGTAGCCACAAGGAAGGGGCTCTGAGCCCCTTGGGCCCTCTGGGGCCTCCCAGCCCCTGGCTGGGGGGGACTGCAGAGACTTGGAACAGTGTTAGACTGGACTAAGTGCCTGTAGTTATGCCGGGAGATGTTTTCTCCATGGGCGCAGAGCAGCAACTGGCACTGACCGGAGAAGTGGTGGCAGAGAGCCAGGACAGATAAGGACCTGAACTGGAGAAGTAACAGAGACATGCAGCACCGCAGAGAAGACTCCTGGAAAGGGAGAGAGAGAGAGAGAGCCAGCAGCTGACAGACAGAGTTCTGGGGGTAAGACTGATACCAGATTCCCCCAAACTCCTTTGAGACCTCTGAGAAAAGGAGGAATAAATGGACTCCTATTTGAGAGGAGCCTTGGAGTACAGCAGTACCGGAGAGAGAGGAGCTAAGAAGCTCAGAGCGTCCTGGAGCTGGACCGGGACGGCCAGATGGAATGCGGGGGGAGTTGACCTTGGCCCCCTCCCCCCTTGCACTGCTGCCACGGTGGCAGCCTGAGAGACAGGGCACAGAGGCCCTGCAAGGAGTTTTGAATCTCCTGGAGATACCAAACCGCCACGAAGACCCCCCTGTGTCTTCGTGATATGACGTGGTGAAACGACCTTGTCTGGGGTTACGAAGCCCACGGAAGACCCCTTTGCCTGTGTCAAGGGGGCCGAGGGAGCTTGGATACCTCCCTCGTGAGTGCTGGCAGAAATCCAGCTATCAGCTGCTGCATGCATGAGAAGACAGACAGATCGCTGCCTTAGAAGATGCTGCTGCTTAAGGACTGGAAGGGATCTGTCCTTTCCCTCCTGGACTTTTATTTAGAGGGGAGAAGAGATCTGGTCCATAGTAAATACTATATGTCATGGTAGAGATAGTTGTGATCATGTGTATAATGTATTACGATATTTATTTGTACAGTCATTGTAATATATTCCCTTTCCCCCACTTTGAGTCTGGTGTGTTTTGTCTGGAAAAACCCATCTCACATTCGGTTGAGATGTGGGAGGGGGAATGGAGCTAGGGAATTGGATTTTTGGGGCTATCTCAAACCATGACACCAGGGTTTAACAGAAGTCTGCTGCATGCCTTTTAAATATGTGATTTGAAAAATCAGCAGTTTCCAGAACCTATCCAGTGTCCAATGACAGAAGAAGAGACTGAAGAAGAATGTTGCTTGCCATACGTAAAATGAAAATGGCCAGAGCATGGCTTACTCTAAAATCAAAGTACTACTTCGTTGAGTGTATTTTTAAACACCTTTGTTCTGGAATTCTGCAATGTTTATCCAATTTTTAAAGTCTTCAGATTGTAATATTTATGTGGTACCATGCAATATATTTCTGGAAATATTAATAGCTAAAATAGCTGTTAATAAAATTTAAAAGAACAAAGAGCAACGTTCACTACTAACTGCACTGAACAGATTACTGACATTGCAGGATAGCTTAGCCATGAATTCCAGATTTGTACAATCACCACACAATTTGAAGGACCAAGAATTGAGGTCTCAGCAGATGATGAGCAAACGATCCATGCCTGCAGCAAAAAGATGGAGATCTCCACTCTAGGCCACAGCTCTAATAAATGTATGAGTTGTAAGGGAGTGCCAATAACTTTGATGAAACAGCACAGGGTATTATATATTTATACCATGCAGGGTAAAATTGACAAAAGTCATTGTGTCATAACTGATCTCATCTTTAACCCCTGCCATAGCTCAGGACTTTGGAGATTCCTCTAGCCTTTCTTTGTATGAGAATGCCATGACACAGTTGGAGGGTCCTTAAATCCCCTGGATGGATTTAAGAATTCTATTAAAATCAGTTAGGGTTCCCAACTGTCAACACTAAACCTTTGTGCAATACTATCTTCTGTCCTCACAAACCATGTTTTCAAATGCTTTTCCTGCAACATGGGAGCAGTTCTGCTGAAGTGTATTTAACTATTTAGGGCTCTCCGGATGCTTTCTGTGTATGCTCCAATTCCACCAGTCTGTTAAATATGAGTATCAGGATATATCTGTGCTTGTCTCTTCCAGTAGGAACAGAGAATAAATGCAATACAGGCCTACAGAAGAGGTAGTGGCTGAGCAAGAGAGAACAGAGCCTCCTGGATTGCCTGCCTTGTATGTCCTCACCCAAGGCCAGCAGGAGATAACAAGAGTAGCACACTCCGTCAGATTTTCACGTATGTCATGTGCACCTACTCATACTATGTATTCTATACCAACAGACGGTTGCATAAGAATTTTCCTTTTTTTTCATTTTTTTTCTGACACAAAAGGTTTTCATGGAATAACACGATCAAGAATATGTAAGAAGACCAGAGAGTTTGTATTTGCTTTAAAATTCTGGAGACTAAGAAAATACACATTTTTTTATTATATGATCATATAAAACTGAATTTCAAACTAATTATCTTAAAGCAGTGTTTTCAGTGTTTCAGTATTCCGTTTCTTGAACTAAGAAATAAAAATATCTGCTTGTGTTTTAAATTCCATGAACTGATTTATTTGGGCAAAGACAGGAGAGAAAAAGTACTAGACACTGTTCAAAAGTCCAAGAATGAGTCATCTGTTACAGATTGTATGGAGCCTCTGAAGACCTGGGAAACAACCAGCTGGCTCTCTTCTGTGAGAAAACAGCATATAGATAATAATGAGACAATCAGTTCAAATCCCAGACAATGAACTTAAATAGGCTAAGAAGGTGGTAAAAGTATACTTTTCTCAAGATAAAATCTCCTGGACACAGGTAGAGTCAAAAGCATCTTTCTAAGATGGAGACAACTCGTCCAGTACACACCAAACACACTGAGAGATGTTTATACTTGGTTAGTTAGCACACAGTTTGGTTAGATGGGAGGGAGAGATGTTGCTGTTTCCCTGTTATGGGCTAGGTCAGCCTGTTCTGTATGGCATATCTGATTGCAAGAAAGTTTAATGGGATGTCTGTGGCATTCTTTGTCTGGCCTGTGAGACAGCAGCACTAGCTTACAGCAGCTTAACATTTTTTTAATCAGCTTTTGTAATCCTGACACCCTCTCCAAACACTTTTGCAGACTAATCATTCAGAAAATATTCTAAATGATAATGAATCTATCCACTGAATATCTGGAAGCAGATTTTATTTTCCCTTTACAACAAGAGTCAAATTAATTATGAGCAGAACAGCAGTGCTAATATTAAACTTCAACACTCCACACAGGAGAACAAAGCAAGTTCTATTATATACCTTTTGATTATATTGCTCGTTTTTGCCTTCTAAATGAACAGTGTTGCAGGACTTTTTTTCTTTTTGTTTACTTCTGTCTGGCAGTGGATCAATGTTTTGCACTGTCCTCATAATCACCGTTTCCGAACTTTCAGAATTTGGTATCTCAGAGTCACTAAAACAGCATGTTCAGGGAAACAAAATCAAGACAAATACTAAAAGTTCCAAAGAGCCAATGCTTAGGCACATAGAAATTAACACATGTAAGAAAGAAGAGAACTAATATAAAATCCAAACACTACTAAGGTGACTTATTTAATAGATTTTACAAATAAATAAAGAAGAAATCTATCACCAAAATGGTCTTAAAAAGTTCTACTCTGTGAAAAGGAATCTCACTCTACAATGCAGAGAAGTCTGAGACTTAGTTGCTTCTTAAAGGACCGCTTTTGTTACAATCTACAAAACTGACATACATGAAAAGATACTTGACAGTATTTCAAGTCTGTGAATGGCTCATGAAGTACTAAATTTCTACTTTCCTTCATTTTCACATTTTATAACAAAACAAGTAAATGTATAATAATTTATAATATTTTGCTTCAATTGAACTTCATCTGGGGTGTTGGCTGAGACAAAATCAAAAATCACACTTCAGTGAAATCTCTATTTAGCACCCTTTTGGAGTGCTTTTAAATTCTGTAAACTTGGTAATCCTTTCACTGAGATTGCCTCCCATGCAGAGAAACCAGACCTGAAACTTTAATTATTTTTCAAATTTTTCCTTAAAATTGCACTAAATGTGCTCTTAATTGACAGGTTTTCACTGCCTTGCCTCAGATTACTATTTGCTTTCTTATATTCAGTGAAGTCTATCCTAAAACTTGAAGTCTTGGATGTATAATTTTCTATAGCATCAGTGGCTATTTATCATTATTTGTGCGAACAGATTTGTGAAGGAATCCCTTGACAGAAGGCTATTTTGATTTGTCACTCTTTAAACCAAGACATTTAAAATGGCATAACTGAGTTCAAATTAAGTTGCACCATCATAAAAATCTATGGTTTAGAGATGGAGGCTACTTAACCAGAGAAAAGGCCTCAAATTGCAGAGTTCACACAGAAAAATGTTTATACTTTTCAAAACTTGTCCTGACACATTAGTATGTCTTATTGACTGATAAGAAAAGAAATCAATGTAATGGTTTAAAGGTGTTGCAGTAGCACTGAGACATTTCTAACTACATACACATTTCCCGCACCTGAATGCTTTCAAGGAATGTTCTATTTAGGAAATGGAAACTTGAATTTAGAAACTCAGAGGCAGGTATTATTGATAAAGAACAGTATTTACTAATAAGTAGAAGAGGGAACTAAATGAAGATACTTTCCTAATTTGTTGAGACTGACATCTTGAAACCTCACTCTCAAAAATGTTCACTATTCTATTACAAGAATTCCCTAAGCCAGCATTTGTACAATAATCAAAAACAGTATTTATGGCTAGCTATGAAATGATGTAATTATTTTCATAAGCTATGCAATTATTTTCCACTTCAACCTCAAAGTGCGATGACAGTGTGCTCGCTCAATTTTGCTCTTAAAGAGAACAACACAGTAAATGAAACAAAAAGCTCACTAACTGCAAACATGCATCCACATTTGCATATGTGCAAACATGAATGTTTTCTGTTGAAATCAGATCTACAATATTACAGAAAAACAAATAAGCTTAACATTAATGATATCAATTGACAAATTACATGGTTCTTAATTTGTTAACTTGCTCAAAATACTGTGTTCAGGAACCACTTATTTTGCACAGGGAGAAGCAGCAGAAGGGCTTAATTTGCCACTATTGATTTGCTGTATAACCCATAAAGCCAACAAGAAGCCTATGAATGATTCCATTTTCTTTATTCTTTTGCCACCCTTCCTGCATTTTGGATAATACAGGCTTGAGAAATTTCTTTGCTTGTCTGTTAGGACAAAGTCCTGAAAGACAAGGTGTGATAATCATTTGCTTAGTGGCCTATTGCTGCCTCCTCAAGTTTGTAGGGACAAATGGGAGAAGCAAAACTTCCAAATGTTTATTTAGCTTGCCAGTGCAATTTTCTGAGAGCTTTGTGACTCCTGACTGGGACTGTATGTGGTAACAATTACCTTTAAAGAACTGATTTTTAACCATCGTTCAATTAAAGTTAGTACAATGACTGTGCATAAAACATACATGAAATAATTAGTGTGGATGGTTCTTAATTTAAAGGATGTTAAACAGCTTGTAGACATCTGCTAGCAAGCTGAAATGGGTCATTCAAAATTTATCTAACTAAATTAAGGGGAAAAAAATGTTTCTCCTCCCGGGTCGGCATGTCACAAGATAACTAAACCGACTTAGTTGGCTTGCCTGGGAATCCTTAGCTGTCAGTGGTGAATATGCAAAGGGCCAGCAAATTAAATCAACCTGCCAAACTGTCAATTTCAAGCCTCATGACTGCATGAAAATAGCATCACTGGAAGAAATCAAGCATTGCCTTCTTTTGGGTTTCCTGGCACCTATTCAAATACTCATGCAGTTGTGGTTAATTTCACATGCAAATTTCAGTCAATAAGCTCAGAACAAGACCTCCCAAGATATTTCAAAGGATCTGACAGTATTTTTTTTGAATACCAAATCAACAGTAGTTGAAATTCAATCTCCATTTGCTAGTGCTTTACATATGCACAGTGTCCCCTCTACAGGGCTAAGTTAATGAGAATCGTACCTGCTTTCATTCACATCCTCCCAGCCGTCCTTACTGAACTTCTCAAATACATTACTCATAACCTTGATGGACTGTTTGAGAAAAGCTCCATGATGTCCCAAAGAGCTCTTTTCCTTGGCTGTTTTTAATTTAACCTTGGTGCCTGTTATCTTGCATTGCCCGGAGGTTGTCACCGCTTTGGCTTTATCCGGCAAGCATTTCGGCTCTTGCACTTGACTCAGCAAATCTTCACTTTCATTTCTCAACCTGTTAGCTTCTGCCACTTGCCTCTTCAAAGAGGCAGTTTCTTTTTCCTTCTCATCAATCACTAACTGAAGTTCTGATTTTTCTTTTTTTATTTCACAAATCCTCTTAAGTAGCATTTCCAGCTCTCTTTCTCTTGTGTCTGCATCTTCCTTTTGTACTTTTAAAGATTCTTTCAAATAAATTTTATGATTCAGTAAGTCTTTATTTACTTCCTTCTGTTTCCTTAATTCCCCTTCAATAGCACTGAATCTTCTTTCTAGTTGTTGCATCTAACAAAAGCAATTCACAATATTTCAGCCCATCGAGTAAAAAAAATAATTATGTTCTCAAATATATTTTTATATGACAATAATATCACATGAAGTACAAGGACAAAAACAATCTATAGTCCTTAAATTAAAAATAATTCTAATGTAGTGCAGATGAAAACATTTTAGCTGCAATAATACAGCTGTTGAACAAAGGGCAGATGGTAAAAGAAGTTAAAATTTGAGGCAAAGTGACACAGAAGTTTAGGTATGCTAATAAATCTCCCTGATGCATCTTGAGCTCATTACCGATTTGGTTATACATACTAATTGAATTTAAAAAAACATTTTCAGAAGGATTACTACTTTGAAATACAATTTTGCGCTAGCTATGTAAATCAACAAGTTCTTTTAAGTGTCGTAAATACACACATAAAATATTAATTTTATCTTTCAAAAAACCCCAAACAAATCCTAGCAAGAGATATCAGAAACTCAGCACCTAAAACCATGAAAGCTAATATGTTTTTCTATTCACTGAAAGGAAAAATCTATCCTGTTTTAATTAAGATACTTTAACTTTACAAGCTGCTCATATAAATTCTGAAGAAGCGTTCTACCTATATATGATATATATGCTTTGTTTGTAAAGTCCTTTGAGGTTTACACATATTCAAGGTCATTAAAAATAAACTGATTCTCTATGATGTTCTGGAATATTTGCATAAAGCAGCAACTAAACCTCTCAATTTCCAGCAAAAAGGGTCAATTTTAATTTTAGCAGATGTCAAAAATGAATATTTAGTCTTTGAGATTTCCCCAGAAGTGTGAAGATGGCAGCAGAATAAGTTTTGTGCTCAATAACCACTTACTCCAGTATTTCGAAGAAACACTTTTTTAGTTAGCTTTGTACAAGCTGCATTCCCACTCTTTCCCTAGAGGAAGTGTCAGGGGCTCTAGATTTCTCTGGATATGGTTAGGAAAGACTATATTTCAAGAATGCACAAGGCTAACTTGAACTTGTCACCTTGTAAAATACTGGTCAGTTCCTTCACTTTGTAGCAAGACAACATGTCAAAACTACCTTTGACACTGAAAATACTGAAACCATATTATTTGTCAATGAATGCTACATGTTTTTACAAGGACATTTTGCCAATGTATTTGAATTATTTTAAAATTTATGGAATCTATTACAAAATGGGTACCACAGATGTGATTCAGACAAATGAGAGGTCTTAATGTACAGGGTAGATTTGGACAAGAGCTGCTCAAACTTCCTATACATTTGTGTATTTGATACTGAATTTCTGCCTTTGATAGCAAATCTTTAATATGAATGCCTATGCATTGCTAGTTTCCATTATGGAAATTCACAGCACTCCCACAGTGAAGAGACATTGCCTTATGGCTACATAAAGTAAATTGGTGAAATTAGAAATAAAAGGGATTTTTTCAAATGCTTCAATGAAACTAAAGTTTATGATAAAAATTGCAGTTTGCACTTTTCTCCCCAGTGACAAGGTGTTAGACAAATACCTTTCTTCAATCACCTTCCTAAACTGATTTTCTGCTATCATTTTCTCAGTTCTTTAAAGCAACCTTTTGCACTCAGTAGTACTTAAAGTCATGTATGACAGCTGGAAGGAAACAAACAATGAAAAGCTTCTACACCTCTCCCCAAGGTACCATCATAACTCTGTATATCCATAGAGATAAAAATTATGTAGTACCTGGCAAACAAAATTACAGTTCTGAAATATAGATGATAAGCAAGCATAAACTGTGTGACATTTCAGATGGTAGCATTCATATTATTTCAATTACTCACTCTACCTTAAGATAAATGAATGTGAGCACTTTCTATTCTGTGTGTTATTATTTTAACATGATGTTTGTCATTCAGTAATAACGAGATGACAGCCTTCATTGCCCGACCATATGGCAAGTGTTACAAATATATGCAATCACATCATCTGTTGTAAATTACTATACTCCCTACAAGTTAATTCACAAATAAAAAATAAATAGACATACCTGAACTGACGTTCAAAGTTATAGATTCGTTTTTATTCAATTTAGGCATGCTTTCAAAGATTTATAAGTAATTAAACAAATAGTTTTGCAAAATGACAAACAAAAGGCACGATATTGTTTAAAGGATGCCTTTTCTTTGCAAGCAAACAAAACATATGGTAAAATACAAGTGAGCCCTCTGAAGTGAACACCTGTTAACATACTAAACTACTTGTGTATGTTACAATGATCAGTACAAATAGCAACTAGTTAAGAGCATCTTGTTACTGTAGGAGGCAAAACATGTAGAATGTTGATCAATAAAGATAAAATACCTATCATATTTGCTAAGCTACTACATGCTATCTTGTGAAAAGAGTGACAGACTCAAATATGTAGAAAATATTTTCATATGCAATATAGTGCTAAAATTTAAATATAATAAAAGGTAGATTTATCACTATTATGCATCATTTCTATTCTGCAGCAAGAGCTCTATGGAGATTTACACCTGATATCATGTAAAGTTAAATAGTCAGCAAAAGAAATTAAGGTTCCTGAACTTTCAGTGGCAAAATGCTAAGCATGTGTTACTTCCAATTTAGATAATTTGTTATTTTTTTAACATTACACCTCTAAACATTCTTTTCATTTTCTCTGACATTAGCCATGTTTATCTTAACGATAAACGATAGCTACTTCCCTAGAATTAATTTCTGCATGTAATCCTGTAAATCCACATTTTTAAATTAGGAAAGAAAACCATTGCTTAAATTTATGATCACTGACAGATATATATATATATGTGTGTGTGTGTACATATAGAGAGATAGATATAGGATTCTTATACCAAAATTTAGGTCTGTTTGCTGGGGTTGGTATCTCACCTTCTGTAACATCTGATGTGAAACTTCTCTCATATTCCTCACCAGAGTATTATTTTTGACCCCATCATCTTCACTAAGTTTAAAAAGTGGCTCTGTCAGAAAATAAATAACAAATCTCTATCACTGAATAAATAAAATACATTGTGGCATTTAATATGTCACTAAAACAATCCCTAGACATTTTAAGGAAATGCATTATTTACTTCCACAATGATTTATAATGTGGTCTATTTTCTTGACAAGCCTTTTGGTCACTTTCTGAAGATGACCTCTCTTCAATTATTATTGGAGAATCTCTGTAGCATCACAGTATGTTTTTTCAGAGTACAAGCTTTTCAAAGGTACAATAGATCTGCAGGTTAAAGACACTACACTTTCATTCCAATTTTTAGTCTTTTATAGACTATTCCCTCTATGCCTTAAAAGCAGAATTCCTTGCCTTTTTATCTACAGTCACTACCAGTTTTGTTCTCTAGGTCTTGTTCCCTGCTAGGAGGATCAGAGTGCTTGGTGAACAAAGCAAACAGTAACTGAATTAGGATGGATGAAAACTTTAAACCCTGTTTTTTGTTAAGTTAAAGATCATGTACTTCACCAGATGAATCATACAAATCATTCCACTGAAATACTGGGAAATCATAACAATTAGAAATTGACACAAGTAATGAGAGTAAACATGAATCTAAGCATCAGTGTCAGAGACAGCTATACACTTTAGGTACTAAGAATCCCAAGTTAAAAATTAGATCTATTGAGAAAGAAGAATGCTAAGAAAATGTTTACAAGCACTAAGACATACAGTCAATCAGAAGTAAACCACATTCTGTTTAGATTTTAATCAAGAGCTTAGCACTCACAAATTGCCCACTGCTCATAGAAATGTCCAATTACACACTACAGAAGGTTTTCATCTTAGAATATGAAATACTCGTTAAAGAACAAAAGAATCCCAACACTCTAAAACCACCACAATATTCATATTTCTTTTCTAGTCCTTCTTTCCTCCAAATTAACTTAAAAAATTAATCTTAAGGGATAAATATCTGTGCTACATGGTGAAGGTCTGCTTTAGAAGTAATATTTCAAACTACAAGCAGACACCGTAGGTCACTTAAAAACTTTTGATTTATAAACAAAGAAAGCATAGAAGAAAACAGTGTTACTCTCTGTAGATTCACAACCCTCTTGATATAAACAGTGACTAACAAGTTTGTTAGAGTGAATTAGACCTTTCTTTTGTCTTTGGAACGTGTCATGGCCAATTAATACTTCTGTAATCATGAAATAAATGGAACACTATTCTAAAGATAATAAAAGCTGAAAAAGGTAAAACTATGCATCTGGGGAATATGTACCTTTACCTTGATATTAATATGCTAGTTCCCATGTTACTTCAGACTACAGTCCCCCAGCACAGTGGTACTGCATACATTTAGAACATTCTTTAAGTAACACACAAAGATAATATGAACATGCTTTTCATCTTTTTCTAAATATTCACTCATTTGAATGTCTGTTGCAGCTTTTATATCAGCATTTACTGTACTCCACTGAAAAGAAAAATTATTTCCCATAGTCAAAGAAACTGATCAAAGCACACAAGGTGTTATGTTTATTATGTGGATGTATTAAAATGCAATTTAAAACTCTATAAATAAACATATTATATGCAGATAATAAAGAATACTGCTGCAAAATAGATAGAAAAGACTATACTTGTTCAGTATTATCACAGAAGACACAAGGAATGTAAATAAAAGTAAAGCCAAAGGTCACTGATACATAACCCTTTCTACTGAGCAGAAAATAAATGGCCCATTCTAGCCCCTTCTCCTCTCCTCCCTTCTAATTGTTATGTAAGTGTTCATTGGAATTGGTTAGGGAGGCAATGAAAAAGCATCACCTGTAACTAACTGTCTGTCTGCGATAGCAGAAAGATACATCATATCAGTCTACTCAGCAAGACGTGCTCTACCTGTCATACTGCTACATAAAAAAATACCAACTTCTCCCTCAAGGAATAGACCCACAAGTCATAAACCCCACTATCTTCAGTCATCAAATTACCATGGTCTTACAGAAGCACACTTATGTCCCACTGAGAAAACATAGCTAACTGTCAGCTTCAGAACGTAACACTTAATTCCTAATTAATAGTCACCAAATCTGATGATAAGTTAGTTCAACACTGCTGCCAAAATGGTACTTGAACTATGATACCACAGTTCACTATTAGTATTTGCAGAAAGTCTTCTCACACAAAGAAAAAAATACCAGTTTTAAGAAATATTATAGAGCTTTGTAATAGTCACTCACTATATAAACCATATAGAACCTATATAAACCATGGAAAGAATGATATTTTTTTCTGTAGTACACACCAGTTGAAGGATTTCCCTGACAGACAGAAGGTGCTATGGTGCACAAAGTCACTGTGTTACTGACTCCAGCTACCCATGGTACTGGGTGGCAAAAACCAGGTGGTGGATAATACCACTGTGAAGACCAGAAGGGAATGCCATTCTCACATATAAGCTGTAAGTTATAAGTAGAGTTAGGAGTCTCATAATGAAAGAAGTCTTCAAACTACCTCCTTGAAGAAATAGCGGGCCAACAGTTTACTGTCTTTTAAGAAGGCATTTGTTATTTTTCTGAATAAGATTTGATGGATCCACTATCCTGCTTTTGGAGGAAACGACTTGACTACCTGCCAACACCTCCTTTACCTTAATATACAAATAATGACATGAATAGCATGAATAGTAAATTTGGATTTGATGACTACTAGACAATAACTGGACAACAAAGTAAGAATGGAAAGAAATTGGGAAGTGCAGGAACAGTTTCCTTTTGCCCTGACTCCCTTCATCTTTGACCACCATGGTTTGAAAAATTATATTGGAAGAACAACAAAACTATCCAGTATTTCTTCCTGACAAACAAAACTGATATCAAATAAGACAATATGCACTATTTTAACAGAGGAAAGCTCTGTCTCTTTTACAGAATTTATCCCTTGAAATTAGAATACCTGATGAAAACAGATATCTGCTAAGGTGAAAGCGAATTCCAACAACATTGATAAACTAAGGAAATTCATGAGCAGCTATTTTTTACACTTCTGTTGGTAAAAGTTTGGAAATGGCTGGAATCATCTCAGTCCTATGTGCTAAAAAGGTTTTGCTTAATACGAATCTTTGGACTGGAATCTTATCAGAAGTTTCCTGTCCATTTAAATGATAGTTAAAGCAACACATGATGGAAAAGGTAAATAAAATTTGCCTAACACGCTTCAGTACTAGTTTAACCCTTTTTCTCAGTCCCAACAAAAGAACAGTTAATCTTCATACCAATAACCAAACCAGAACTGTGCCTCCTCCCACAAGCTTTTAAAAGAGGATATTTTTATCTGAAAGACAATGAAAAAAGAAGGAATAAAAGACTAATTGTTAAAGCACTAAACATGTCAAGAATTGGCAGGTTTAGAGATTTCACTAGTTTTTGGAAAAGCATGGATATTGCTCAGCAGGCCCTCAACTCCTTCTCACCACTAGTTGTCTTACCCTTTCTTTCTGCACAAAGACTGACTAAATTGGAAAAAAATGAAGCAGCAATTTTTAAAGTCAGTATTTAAAACCTTCACTATTTCCCTTCAGCTCTGTCTGTGGCTATGAAGGTAACATACGAGAAGTAGTATGAAAGAAAACAGTAGCTTTCAGTTTTCAGCAGCTTGATATTTCCACTTAGTTTTAGAGATAAAATTTTAAAATAAAGGAAAAAAAGATTTTATTTTTTCATGCAAGTGATCAACATTATCACAAGAAAATAGAAAACAGAAAACAGCCACCAGCAGAAAACTATGATAAAGAATGGTAAGGCTTTATTTCTAAGAACATGTAGAGTACTTCACCAAGTCTCCTACTTTCCTTTGCACAACACTGTGCATGAAGAATTCACCAGAGAAGCAACACACAGAAAAATGTAACTATTAACTCGAATATTTCTCCTAGATGATTCAGAAACAGCTAACAATACAAAGAATCAGAGGAGTGATGGAGAGGCAACAGTAATATTATCTATCCGACTGACAAAGACTCATCTTCATAGAACCATTAACTACTGTAAAGATTGTAAAGATTTAAAAGAAGATAGTGATGTTCAATATCTTGATGAAATTCTTACACAAATGTCACCATTTTGGTTTACTTTCAAATTCACATACTTTATCAGACTAGTTTTAAAATAGAATTCTGAATTAGCACCAAATTTCTATATCACTATATCTCAACATGAGGTTCCCTGGTGATCTAGTGGTTAGGATGCGGCGCTCTCACCGCCGCTGCGACCTGGGTTCGATTCCCGGTCAGGGGACTTCCCCGGGCAGATGGAGCTCGTCAGCCCTGTAAGGCCATCCATCTAAGAGAAGGCCACTCTAAACAAACCTACGTCCAGAGGACCTCGCTGCCACTGTCCAAGCTTGCTTGGCCCCGGCAGATGAACCTCAGGATTAAAGGGTGGGCTCAGTTCAGCGCACACTGTGTCTCACCTAAAAAATCCACTGCGCAGGCTCAAAGGGTAAATGACCTTTCCCAAATCTTCACTTGCGAAGACTGGCCATGATGATGATGATGATGATGATGATGATATCTCAACATGCAAAAACCATTTCAGATTCTGGAGAGAACTTCATAAGCATATAAACATATTCTAGACTTTACATATACATATTGATATACAACTCATGTATATTTTGCTATATTTTCTCTCCACTGTTTAGTTGCAAAGCGGCTTTGGTGGGTGCCAGGGTCAACCCACTACAACTACATACACACACATAAAATACTATACCTTCCCTTTTTTGTTGTAAAAATAGTTAAGATCCTGTATTGTGAACTTACCCACAGATTGGTATATTTTCATTTGATCCAATTCTTCTTCAAGATTCAGTCTACAAAAAAGGAAATAAGAAAATAAGAACCACAGAACAATCACATATGCCACCCAATCACAAGATGCCACTAAAATCATTCAAAAAATTAAACCAAAACTATATCAATACATTACTGGAAAAAAAGTTGTCAACACTCAGGAATTAGTTCTATTTGATAAAACTTAGCATACTTCATATATAAGGAGTCATTTGTACAACAGCTTTTTAAAATTTACAAATCATCTGAACTTCCAAAATTCAGATACAATGTTGATCGTATCATACACTAAGAAGTTTCAGCTGATCTTTTTAGGTAAGAAAATGCCTGAGATGAAAAAAAGACCAGTAGGAGGCAGAATCCTGCTAAAATGGGAATAAGTACTCTGTCCCAGAGGGAACCACCAGCCAAACTTGAGCAGATACATTGTAGCAGTTAGCAATTCTTTGAGAAACTTATTAACAAAATCTTTCCTCCCCTTCTCCAGCCCTGATCTACCAGTATATTACTACCATAGTCTATTCTGTAATATCAACCAGCAGAACAAAATACCTGAATCAGTCTTTTTCAATTTATAAAATTACAAACAAATAAAGTCACCAGGATGCCAGTGCTAAAGTCTCAAAGTCAAATTGGGAAATGCTAGAATGAAAGACATGAATTTAAACTGTTCATTTATACTTGTGTTTTCTGACACAATCTCTAACTATATAATTGCACACTATTTCAGCAATAAAATCCCCACCCATTTTAGCCAAGGATCCTACAGCACACAGAACAGTGCACAGTCATTTAATTTGCACCTTTCACTTAAAATATAAACACATATACAAATACACATAATTCTAGCTCTGTTGTAAAAGTTGGACTGCTAGTTTTCTCACAGTTATTTTCTGCTTTACTCTGAACAGCAGTACCTTTTTCACAGGAAATTTATGCTTTACCCTACTTTGCCCTCTGAGATAAGGCATAAAAAAATTTGGCCAAACTATCTTAAGGAAAGGTCTAAAGAAAAAGTTCTTCCGGTATACACAGTATGTTACAGCACATTATACATCATATGCATCTCAGACTCAGCTGTACAACATGAATTACAACGAAAATTATAAACGTAAAAGGTTCAAGTAACTTGCTTTGCATGACACATAAGAATCCAGCTGGTTTTTCAGAATCACTCAGCTGCCTTCATTGGCTGACTTTCTGTGATCTTCTTTCATCCCCCAATACTCAGTCAGTTATCATCAATTTCTATTATACAGACTACAGTGGCCTTTGTCTCCACACTGTCCTAACTCCTTACAGCGTGTTAACTTCTTGCACTGTATGGCAAAATATTTCCTTGAAAAAACATTGTTTACATAATTAAAGACTGAATCCAACATATCTGCTTCCTGCTTGAACCTCTATCTTTTGAACAAGTTAGTTTTCAACTTTAAAAACATTATTTGAATGAAAATGTTTATGAACATATATAATGCCTCTCTATACACTAATTGACAAGCACACAATGATGATTGTACAAGATTTTTAAGAGTAAACTTTTCATAAAGATTTTTCTTTAGGCTGATGAAACACATGAAGAAGTAACTAAATCATACAAAATAAGTAAAGGGGTAGGTTTCTAGTCTGAATATCTGAAGTGCTTCCAAAAAAATTAATATGTCTGTGAAATAGTCTCCAACTTATGTTATGATACATTTAAGCTGGAAAAATTTCAGTTAAGTCTGGACAAGAAATTACAATATACAATACAAGATCCAACCCATACAAGTCAATGACTGGCTTGCATGAGAAATGCTCATCTGGGTTAGCCCAGTGCCAGGTCCATCTATCACTAGTGCTCTGTTTCCAGCAGAGGCAAAAGCAGATGCTACTCAGGAAAGAGAGTAAGCCTAACAGTTTCCGCAGTTTGATTCCAATTTTCCACCCTAGAAGTGGCATGTAAGCACTACACTTTGTTTCTTCTGCTTTAACTGGTTCACTGTTGCTAAAACGACCTTTCCTCCAATCTCACACCAATGGAATTTTTTTTTTCTAACCTTTAATGTGGAGCCTTGTCAAAGGCAACTGAAAAATACAGATCAGATTACTGTTACCACATAGTTACTATCACTCTTCCATAATTCCAGCAGGTTAGTGAAGCAGGATTTCCCTTTAAAGGAGTCACAGTAATGCTTCCCCAACAAAACTGTGCTGATCTATGCTTAGTGCTCTTTCTCTCTGGTGGTTTTCTTGGGGTTGTTGGTTGGTTGGTTTTTTTAACCCCTCTCCAACCACCATTTTTTCCTAAAGACTGACTGCCACCTTCCTAAGTATGGAAGCAGTCAGGCTCACTGGTCTGCAGCTCCCTCTGGAGCCCGCTCTATAGATGGGAGTTACAGTGGCAAACTGCCAGTGCACTGGCACAGTGGCTGTTAACAATGAGATACAGTTCAGTAACTTCATACTTTCACATCCCTTGGGTGTGAACATGCTTCAGTTTCTTCACACCTCGGCGCAGGAAGAATATTAGCAATCAAGATATTAACAACTAATCAACTTGACCTCATAATTGCTTCAGATATGTCTAACAGCTTTGATCTATCTGTTACAAAGAATACACGACTTGTTGGCATCTTCTAAGCATCATTAGCAGTGAATCATACACTCATAGAATAGTTTAGGTTGGAAGGAATCCTAAAGATCATCTAGTAGCAAAGACTGACCGAGCAAAAGATTGTTCTTTTATTGTCTTGTAAACCCAGCATATAATTTTACACTGTTATCATTAAGCAAACCTGTAAATTTCCTTACTGTCTTCTTTTACACCTATTATAAGCAAAATTTTACTGTAACACCTTAAGCACATTTGAAAAACAATCTTCAAGAACCTGTTTAAGCTTCTCAACATCTCACACGCATCTGCCCTGCTACTTTTTATTAGCCCTACTTTTTCGTAGCAACACAAGTTTAAGTATTAAATGCTGACCTTTTCTCTGTGAGGGCCATAAAAACTTCCCCACCGAGTCTCTAGATAGAGCTACTTAAGACTATTTTGGGACACAGGTTGGTTTGGGGTTATTTGGATTGGTTATTTGGGTTGGTTTGAGGTTACTATCAGTGCTGGTCACTTTTAAACATTATCTCCTAAGGGCAAAGGAGCAACAATTCCCAAATGTTGGAAGTCAAGCAGGTAAAGCACAAGGCTGCCTTGGCTGAACAGAAATCTTTGCTTGGAATTAAGGCAAAAAAGGAAGCTGTATGCCCAGTGGAAGCAAGGTCAAGTCACATGGGAAGAATTCAGAGATGCTGCTTGTCACAATAGGGAAAAAACTCATGAAGCCAAAGCTCAACTGGAGTTGCAGTTGGCCAGAAATGTGGGCGACTATAAAAATTGTTTTTTCAAATATATTAATGTCAATAGGCAGCATAGAAATATCATTGGCCTGTTACAGGATGAGGATGGTCACCTCACAACCAGAGACAGACACAAGGTAGAGGTGTTTAATGCTTTCATTGCTTTGTCTTCAACACTGATGATGGACCAAGGGTGTCTCAGTGCCCTGAGCTGGAGGACTGTGACTGCGAGAATGATCAACTCCTAGTCAACCCTGAAACTGTGTGAAATCTGCTGCTCCAGCTGGATCCCTAGAAATCTATGGGGCCTGATGGAATTCATCACAGAATCTTCAAAGAGTTAGCTGATATTATTGCAAAATGTTACTCGATTTTTGAGCAGTCTTGGGAACCCAGAGAGGTCCCAGCTGACTGGAAGCTGGTGAATGTTGTCCCAGTTTTTAAGAAGGGCAAGAAGGAGTACCTCAGAAGCTATGGACCTGTCAGACTCACTTTAAGTGCATGGTAAACTTGTGGAGAAGAATATTCTGGGAAGTATTGAAAAACAGCTGAAAGACAACATAGTCATTGGTCAGAGACAGCACAGCCTCATGAGAGGAAAGTCTCGCTTATCCAACTTGATTTCCTTTTATGATGAGGTAACCCACACAATTGATCAAGGGAACCCAGTTGATGTAATCTTTTAGGATTTCAGTAAAGCTTTCAATACTGTCTCTCACAGGATCCTTCTGGACAAATTGTCCAGCACACAGGTGGATAAACACATCATGCAGTGGGTGAGCAGTTGGCCCACAGGTCGAGCACAGGGGGTAACAGTGAATGGGGTGACATCAGCCTGGTGACCTGTCACTAGTGGGGTTCTACAGGGCTCCATCTTAGGCCCTGTGCTCTTCAACATCTTCATAAATGACCTGGATGCAGGACTGGAAGGGATACTAAGCAAGTTTGCAGATGATACAAAACTAGGAGGAGCTGTTGACTTCCTCAAAGGCAGGGAGTCCCCGCAGAGAGACCTTGACAAATTAGAGGACTAGGCAATCACCAAACAGATGAATTTCAACAAAAGAAAGTGCCAAAGTTTGCACCTGGGATAGGGCAACCCAGGATGTTCATACAGACTGGGGAATGAGATGCTGGAAAGCAGTGCCATGGAAAGGGACCTGGGGATCCTGGTCAATGGCAAGTTGAATATGAGTCAGCAGTGCCCTGGCAGCCAGGAGGGCCAACCATGTCCTGGGGGGCATCAGGCAAAGTATCACCAGCTGGTTGAGGGAGGGGATTGTCCCGCTCTGCTCTGCACTGTTGTGGCCTCACCTTGAATATTGTGTGCAGTTTGGGGCACTGCAATATAGGAAAGATATTGAGCTGTTAGATAGTGTCCAAAGGAGGGCAATAAAGATGATGAAGGGCCTTGAGGGGAAGCCATTTGAGGAGCAGCTGAGGTCACTTGGTCTGTTCAACCTGCCGAGGAAGACACTGACCTCATTGCAGTCACAACTTCCCGTGAGGGGAAGAGGAGAGGCCTCTGTGGTGACCAGTGACAGGACTGAGGGAATGGCCTGAAGTTGTGTCAGGGGAGGTTTAGGTTAAATATTAGAAAGAGATTCTTCACCCAGAGGGTGGCTGGGCACTGGAACAGGCTTCCCGGGGAAGTGGTCACAACGCTATGCCTGACAGAATTCAA